CTTCATAAGGTTAATATTTAAGAGCATTTTTGTAACTGTTAGTTCCTATAGAAATATCTGTAAACTCTGAAATTTCAAACATTTGAATTAGAGTTGCTGTTCTCTATTGCCTGACCATAATTTTATCAGAAAGTGCCAATCTTCAAGTGACACCATGGATTTAGTAACATAACATTGTTAGAAACAGCTGTAGGAATGCCTCGTGAGAAATTCAACATAATTGTACAAAAATTATTCCTTAGAACTATTTGATGATGATCGCCCCACTTATCTTTAAACAGGAGTATTATTTTCTAGCACCTCTAAAGCTACTTCAGTGAGTTCTACCGAAACAACTTCTTTCCTGTGAAATTTGCAATAAAGTACAAGATTCACTACCTTCCCTCCTCTTTCCCACGTATATAACCATGCTTCTGAGTTTCCTGTAGGTTACTACAATGGAGAGTATGCGGCAGTCAGATTGTCAAAAATCATTATGAAGATAATCTACCTACCATCTACTTTGATCTGAAAGTCTTTACAGTTGTGCCATCTGCTTCTTCGTAGTTCATTTTAAGCCTTATGCTCAAGCAAAAGGAACAGCCTGGCAATACAAATCTGACAAAATCGATCAAGATCAGAAACATCTCAGTGCTCTCAGTAAAATTAATCTATAAAGAACTAAAATTTGGTGCAATTAACTTAATCATTCCATTTCCAAAGGTGTTTCTACAAAGCCTGCGTGTTAATCTGTTGGAAGAGGAATTTTTCTTATAAACAGGTATTTGTACAAAAGCAGAAGAATGGTCCATAAATCACAAATGGCACTCAAATGGGTCTATGCTGCAAATTCAGACTGCATGCTCAGATTTAGCATTCACAGGATCAAAAATCTCATGTACATTTTATAAGGTTAACACATAGGCAATGACTGAAATGAAAAACCAGGCACAGGCACTAAGTATTTCTATTTGTTTATTCAGAAGTGATCTCCTCAGAACGTGAGGTGATAGAAAGGCTTCTTACACCATCATCTCTCCTACTTTTTCTATAAAACAGCTAAAGGTGAGGAGGGATTTGGTGGAGACTCCATGCTGATCACTAGCCAGGGTGCAGGCGTCTTGTGGGTTTGGGGAGTTGGTGTAACCTACAGCAATCTCTCAACCGCTCTGCATTTTCTGGAGAAAACCCTGTTAACTTATGTGCCTTCAGCATCAAAACAGCACAGAGATGGTGCCTGCTGTCTCTGCTCAGCATTTCTTGCCTTGTCCCAGGGGCAGCCCAAGGTCTGTTCTCTGGGCAAGGAAAGAAGTGTCCCCTTGTGGTTCTTCACAGTTTTACCAAATAACTAGCGGCTGCCTAGTAAGTTAAGAATAATACCTGACCCTGAGGATATCTAGCTGAAGACCAGAACATCTCACATCATTGAAAGTAACCGTTAGCAAGTGTGGCTCTTCCTGTCCCTATCACACTCAGGATTGTGCCCAACTTGACACATGTGCTTTTGATGCATTTGATTTCCATAGGAAGCCTTGGCTTGCAATTAGACATCCACTTATGTGCATTTCCAGATAAGAATGACTTCCAAGCCTAAGAGCTGAGATGTACACACGCCAAGAACTCCAACACTGAATTATCTTTGAAAAAGCTTAAAAAAAATAATATCTTGAAAATGCCTTGCAGCTACTATACAGTTGCACAGCCTTCTGCCGGCAGATGCACAGATTTCTCACATCGTTTAATGACTGCTGCCCACTCTGGAAAAAATGCACTCTCACGATGTGCAACTATGTTCAACTGAGATACATAATAAAGTAACCAAACATAGTAGCTTGCCTTTCTTTGTTCTTGAATGTGGAGCTTTATGTGTCAATTTTAATCTAAAAGGAGCAATGTGCTATGTGGGCCTTTGAAAACAGATTTTATTCACTAACTGAGAAGTTTCTACCCAAGTGCAATGTTTATACATCTTAATAAATAGCTGTGCAACAAAAACCCAGACCAAAACAGGTATGGCATACCTCCTTGCAGCTTCATGTACCAGTGTGCAGAGATTGTGTAATCTTGTGCAGAGATTGTTAAATGTCATCACCACTAGTTAATACTAATTATCTCATTAGCACATGAATACACTTTCATGTCAAATGCAATGTAGGATATTGGGGACTACTTAAAGACATCATGCTACAGATGGGGTGACTTTACTATCTTCATTCTCATGGCACGTGTAGGCTTCACGTTAAGAAAGATGAGCACCAGTTGTGTAGTATTTATTTCTGATTTTCATTAAAGGTATAATTGCGTAGACTGGTATTGTTTTGGGCATTCAGATGACTCCAGCTAGAGATTAGGAGTAGAGGGAGGGTAAACAGAGGAGCTGGATGGTTCCGACTGTCTGAGAAAAGGCACTTTATGTCTGGGCTATTTCTGTGACCCTGGGCCAGTGCAGAGTGAGGCGCAGGGCCAGCTGGACACAGGTGTCAGTCAGCTCAGTGGTCTCATTGCATCCCCTTGTGGCTGGGTGGTTACAAGCGCTGAGGATCGTCCATCCCCATGAGAACGAGGGGTCGGGTAAAAACGAAGCAGCTTTTCTGCTCTCAGGTGGTGACCAGACAGGATCTGGAGTACTCAGAAGGTGGAACAATTGACTTGTTCACACTGCCAACCTGTGTATTTCCTAGAAACGTGCCCATTTCTCACAGTCCCTGCTAAAGTGATTCTCCAACCCGTGATACCCTAGAATTCCTGCCAGCACATTTTGCAGCCCACCGTAAAGACAGCGTAGAGACCTATGAGTAAGTGTGGAGGAGGAATGTTTCTAAATACACTTTATCCCCGTATTTCCAAACATAGCACGGATGGAGCAGCTCCTGTTCACGCAGACTATTATTCAGAGTGGTTTTGTGTTGTCTGCAAAGAACGATAGCACCTTTAATACACCAGCAAGCAGATCTCTCACAGTGAATGCATAGGATTTGAAACAACAGAAACGTAACAATTAACATCAATTTTCACGAATACTAATTTAATTTTTAATACGGAGGGAAAAAAAAAAAGAAGAGGCTTTTGGAATCCACCCAACAGCAACTGGGGTGGGGTTAATAACTTGTCTTTCTGGAAAGAAACAGAGAACGTGAAGCTTGATACATCTTTCCAGTGGAATATGTATCTTGAATCTAACAGTAACAGTATGGCAGATACAGATTTATAAAAACTTTAAAAAAAAAAACAAAAAACAAATATTCATCTCGAGTTGCATAATGTGCTAATTTCTGTGACGTTTCCTAAGAGGAGACTGTTGCCTTGTGGGGTAGAACTGATCCACTATTTTCAATAGTATCACTTCAAAGTCTATTGCTTGCAACAAGCATTTTTCATCAGTCAGTAGCATATTCATTAAAATAGGTATTTCATTACAATTTCTCACAAGCGATGACTGAAATTACTACTTATAGTGATCTTTTAAAAATGAATGAATAAATAACCTTCATAATCTGTCGTCTTTTCCAAAAGAGGTAGGTCCCACTAATGTTAAGGAGAGTTACATCTACAGAGCTGAGAGAGCGATGGAGCAGGTCCCCTGAGGCAGCTCCTTGGGCACTGTGAGTTAGCAATAGCTCCCCAAAGTGCATTGAAGGGAGAGATGGCGATTTACATCAACAAAGAATATACCCCTTTCATGTTTATTTTTCACCCTGGCCTGCCACAAGGTCTAATCATATCTGTCAGCAACAGAGAAGCTTAATAGCTCATGTCCAACTCCTGCTAGCAGTTCGTTTTCTCATCTGAACAAGGCATAAATGAACAGCAAATGTCAGGTCATTGCTTCCTGCTCTTACTTCACACACATACCCCTCCCCAAATTGAAGCACTTTCATGTTTTAGGTGTCCAGTTTAATCCAATTCACCCTTGAATGTTGTCTGTGCAACTCTTCCTGGAGATTCTTTTATTTATTCAGTATAATATATGTTCTTAACTCTTTTTACTTAGTCATCTCTGTGAGAATAAAAGGTGTGGAGTCAGCTCAGTAACCAGAGGGAATCATAAATTATATCCATATAAGAGATACAGCCAGATAAACAGAATGGCTGCAGAACTATAGCAATAATGCAGTCAGGTTTGCAATTTTGTACTTAAAAATCCCATTTTGAGGACCATAATGGGACTATAGGAAAGTCACAATAATATAGCACAAGAGTTTGCTTTCTTTCAAATTGCAATTACTTCTGCAATTTGTGCTGGTCCAGCTAGCCTGGCTATAAACCGTCGTCTCCTTTTTAAAACACCCTGACTTTTGCTATTCTTCTCCTGATATCCAAAATTAATAAAACCTGTTGACTTTGAACAGGTTGTACAGAGCAACATTTTTTACTACTGCTCAAGCTGCATGAAAATATGCTTGCCCAGACCTGCTGGCAAACCACCCACTGGCCTTTCTTCCCCGCAGGACACGGCTTTGCAGGGGCTATCCGGACCGCAGAGGGATTTTCAGAGTTTCTTTCCTCTGTTTTCTCAGTCCCAGAAAACGAGCTCACACGCATCAACGCCAGCAGCTAACCCTGGAGTCCCTGCCGAGCCGTGACTCCGTTTTGCTCGGGGCAGAAACGCCAAACTCCCCGCGGTGGCGGCGTGTGAGCCAGCCCCGCTCACTAGCCCCACGGGCGACCTCCGGACCCCGCCACGGCGTAGCCGGAGCCGTCAGCAGCTCCAGAGCTAAACGCCAGCAGCAGTTAAGTTTTTATTTACAAATACACGAACCACACGCTGTGTGTGAACGAGGACGGGGGACGGCACGGCCGGCGAGACGCCCGATTTCTTGCGGGTTTTCCTGCGCTGCTGAAACCCCTCCTGCTGCCCGCCGCCGCGGAGCC